GAGGCAAGAGCAAGAACTTGGCAGGAATCTGAAACGATGCTTCATCTGACTATATTTCCCATGCGTGGAACTTTCTATCCTCACATTAAGCCATTCCAAGCACTCAGAAATTGTTTTCGTTTTCCCTGAATGCCTCTCATCCTTATCTGTCGAAGCCTGGCAGAACACCGAACGCCTTGGTCAAGCTGTCTGTTTTGGCTAATTTCCACCTGCCTGTCTATAAGCTCATTCAGGTGACGTTCCTTCAGGTGCCAAGTTGTTTTCAAGCCCCAAATTCTGGGAACTCTCTGGGAGCGATTCAGGGAGTAAACTCTCATCCCTATACCCTGTAGGAACATTCTCATGGGAAACTACACTTTGAACCGGCGTCTCTATGTCATTCTCTGCATTAATATCATTGACCAAACCATTGCCATCTTGACCCTCATTGACATCATTCCCCACATCCAAAGCAACTTGATCTTGAAACACAGTCACAGGCTGAACTCCAACAATAGTGTATGTGTATAAACTATTGTAATGAACTCATACCTTTTCTTCATAGGCCGCAGCCTGGAAGTCAGTGAGCTGGCCTCCATGTTGGGAAGGCAACTCAGGATGGCAGACATGATGGCATAGGCAGAGAGGCAAGGGGAGGAGTCAGCTAACTCCTGATTGGTTCAGGCCCCAAGGGGAGGAGTTGAAGGAGAGTGTAAATAGGCTATCATTTCTGACAGAAGAGAGAGAAGGATTTGATCTAGCAGAGAAAAAATTAGGATTTCAGACAGGAGAAGAGAGTTTTTTTAGTGAGCTAGGAATTAGACTGTTAGGGAATAACTAAAGAGCAAGTGCTTCTGTATAGTTTGACTAGGGCAGTCAAAGTGAAGGCTTGTTTACTTGTATTAGGACAGAATACAAGTGGGTTTATTTCCCTAAAGTTCAGAGTAGTCCAGGGGAAACCTAGATACTCTGGAAGGCAGCCAGGGGCGGCTGGTCAAAGAAACGCACTGTTACATATTACAGGATACTATAGTGTGAGGAAAGTAGCTCGTGTTAAGGAAAAGTTACTCCTTCTAAAGAAACCATTTGCTTAATAAGTCTGCTTCAGAAACAAACTACGCGTATGTACCTCTCAGTAGTCAGTTGTTTGCTTCAAATACTTCAAACACACACACCGTTCTCTCTCATCACCTGCAAAACCATCGTTCATCCTTTTTACAACACCCTTAGTTATGCAGCTAAGCTAATTACGTTAATGATGTAGTCCATATAGAATACCAGCTGTTTTACCCACATCAAGATTCTCTTGCTTCCAGCTCCTATGAGTTTTCTGCCTATGTTGCCTCTTCCAAATAACATAAAATAAAAGGTGCCAGGGCAGAGACAATAAAATAGCCTAATAAAAGCTCACATATATATACAAAGCTATCATGACTCTTAAGTAACTTCAGGAGGGTCCTGCCTGTTTATGGGAAGGGATGAGGAAAGTGGAGGAAGTTATATGAAGATGAATTTCAACCAGGTATAGTGTTAACACAAGCAGAAAGATGGCTTTTTCTCCCCCTCTTGAAGGCAGTGACCTGAAGCAAATGTCTCTTTCTCCAGGGGTTTAGTCCTGCCTTTAATGTAGTAAGATGCACAACAGCTTGTAGAAAGTCTGGCTTCATCATAATCCATCTTGCAGCAAAAACATCAACTGATTATGGGGCAGCTATGCATTGTGAAGATCTTTGCATTGTGGTTCATTCCAATAATGAATGACAACAAGATTCTGCCACGGAGAATGGAAAAATGACTATATATTGGATTCTAGTTCCCAGAATCCAAGTGTCTATGCCTGCTGATGGAATCTGAAAGTAGTACTCCGAAAATAACTGTACAAGTTAGGCATCTCTTAACTGAAATGCTTGGGACTAGAAGTGTTTTGGATTTTGAAATACACGTCTTTGCATGTATGTGCAGAATGAGGCCTTTTTAATTAAAATATTTGAATATTTGCATATATATATATATATATATATATATATATATATATAATAGATAGATAGTTAGATAGGAGCCACTGGTAGTGCAGCGGGTTAAACTGTTGAGCTGCTGAACTTGCTGACTGAAAGGTCATTGGTTCAAATCTGAGGAGTGGAGTGAGTTCTCGCTGCTAGCCCCAGCTTCTGCCAACCTAGTAGTTTGAAAACATTCAAATGTGAGTATATCAATATTATTTATTTATTTATTTATTTATTTAGAACTTTTATATACCGGTCTTCTTGACCTCCGCAGAGGGTCTCAGTCCGGTTCACAACAAAAGATTCATAAACAAAAGTTTAAAACATCACATCTCATAATACAATTACACATTAAAATACAATCATATAATTACACAAGGCCAAGTCATCAGAATGAAGTCACAATTCATCGCCATCCGTCCGTGTGGTCAGGAGTTATTGACTCACTCATCAAATGCCAAATTCCAGAGCCAAGTTTTCACCAGTTTTCTAAAAGTCAGGGGAGAAGGGGCAGTTCTAATCTCCAGTGGGAGAGAGTTCCAGAGCCAAGGGGCCACCACCGAGAAGGCCCTGTCTCTCGTCCCCACCAGCTGCGATTGTGAGGGTGGTGGGACCGAGAGCAGGGCCCCTCCAGAAGATCTTAACAACCTTGATGGTTCATAGTGAGAATCCGTTCAGACAGGTAAACTGGGCTGGAGTCGTTTAGGGATTTATAGGTCAACACCAGCACTTTGAATTGTGCTCGGAAGCTAATTGGCAGCCAGTGGAGCTGGCGCAACAGAGGAGTAGTATGCTACTCTGTAGGCACCACTCCAACGGGAAGGTAACAGCCACTCAACCTAGGAGTCATTTGTGGACAATGCCAGCTCTTCAGCTTAGAAATGGAGATGAGCACCACCCCCCAGAGTCGGACATGACTAGACTTTAAGGGGAAATCTCTACTTTTGTGTGTGTGTGTATAATGAAATTTCCAACACTCATGACTTGAAAATATTTTTAAAATTCCAAAATGGAAACCTTAATTTTGTATGTTTTGCATGTTTACTATGCTATTATATATAATGGGATTTTGGTATCCACAGGGGTTTCTGGAAACAAACCTTAACAAGTACCAAGGATACAGCGTTTTATTACACTATGCAACACAATTTTTCTTCCTGGGTTATAAATATCATTTCCTAGTTTTTTTAAAAATGGGAAAAAATTATTAAACTGCTAATGCTTTGTTTTTGCCATCTACACAAAGGATTAAAAATAGCATATGAAAGGTTAAAAACAGCACATTGAAAAGTTAAAAATGGCAGTCACAAAAGTGAAGTTTCTCGAGTATAACAGCTACTTCCTAAGTACCACACAATTAAACAGGAACACTTTCAAACCAGGAACTTTTTTTCAAATTTTGTTACATAGGGTTATTTTTAGTTGTGGATGGTTGTTTTTTCAATTTTTGGTTGCACTGATCAATAATGTCTGGAATCCTGTTGTGGCTATCCTGGTTTAAATGCTATTTCACAAGCAATTTTTTATTCTCCAAGTTTGTACAAGGGTGTTTATCCTATTCAAGGCTGCTCAGCCACAGTTGTCCTGATATATACCATTGCATTTGCATTATTGCTGCCCTGGAGATTATCTAAGGCTGGCTCTACACCAGTGGCTCCACAAGAACAAAAATAGGGTCCACGGTCTCACCATTACTACGCCATTGCCTCAAAACCATGTGGCAACAAGAGCGACTGGTCTCGCAAAACCTTGTTGTAGTGCCAAGACAACAGGGATGTCGGGACGGGAGAGACTGGCTACCCACAAAAGATTACTACTATCACATCAGCTCTAGATTATTAAATATGGTTTTCTGTGGACAAGCAGATAGCGACTACTGGATGACATATCTTCTATATCAGAAACTAGAGCTGATGTAGTCTATCCAATGCAGTTTTCTGAATCAGCACCCCAAATAAACAAACCGAATCTAAAGTTGACCAAAAAATGATTCATAACCCTTTTGGTACTAATGTTGGAGAGTGGTCCCTGGTTCTGTGGTCCCTGGTCAAAAAAAAAAGGTTGGGAACCACTGCTCTACACTATAGAATTAATGCAGTTTGATGCCATTTTAATTGCAGTTTTTGCAGTTTATTAAAGTCTTTAGTCTTCTCTGCTACAGGCAGTTGGCCCCTTACCAAGCTACAAATCCTAGGATTCCATTTCATTGAGCCATGGTGGTTAAAATGGTATGAAACTACATTAATTCTACCATGTAGACGCACCCGAGGTCCATCACTGTAACCACCGTATCACACCACATTATTGGCAAGGAGAGTTCGCCTTTGCCTTCTAGAGTTACACAGGCCAATTTAAGGCCGCAAGGTCTTTCCAACAGCGGGGTTTACATCCCAGAACAAAAGAAAGATTTCAAAGCCTTCCAAAACATTTGGGAGAAATAAAACACCCTTTGTAAGTGCAAACAACTGTGTGAACAAAAGAGCAAGAAGTTTTCATAAGCCGCAGCTCCAAAAACACAAGGCTAACAAGCTGTAAATAGACTTTGCGGGGCAACACTTAACTTTATTTTGGGGCGATTTAGTGGCTCGTTGTTTTCACACTTAACCAGTTTTTAATTAAAAAGTGACTTTTGTTCCTTTACGTTGGGGGGAAACTTCCCTCTTTGGATTTGCCCAACAAAAAAGCCACGGGAGCGTGATAGTATTTGAAAGCAAATAGGGCAGGTTCAGTCACCAACAGACCTCACCAATTCATGTCCGTCTCTCCTCCCTTTCTCTCTCTCTCTCTCTTTCTGTCTCTTTTTGGGGAGGTAATCTGCTTATTAGATTCTTATTGTCAGAAAGGATTAGTGTTACGAACCATAGGAATTCCTTTCATTTCTCTGTCAGGCAGGGTAGTGAAGTGTGGCTGCTTTTTCATAACAATAACATTCTGGATTTCTTTTTTCGCCCTGACCCTCCCTTGTCCCCTCATGTTGCCCCTCACCGCCCCACCGCATCTCTTTCTTCTTTTGCACAGAGATTTGCGCTGCCGACTGCGGAGGGCATGGCGTCTGTGTCGGAGGCACCTGCCGCTGCGAGGAGGGCTGGATGGGCGCCGCTTGTGATCAGCGGGCATGTCATCCCCGGTGCAAGGAGCATGGGACATGCCGGGACGGCAAGTGTGAATGCAGCCCTGGCTGGAACGGAGAACACTGCACCATTGGTAGGGGGAAACAATTATAAACAAAGAAAAAGAAATTCCAATTGAAAATGAGTACTTGATGGGTGGGTTGGTGGAAAGGGATGAAAAAAGCATGCTTGTTCGAATTGGTGTGACATTCCCGTAGCATGCACATCTTTTATTTTTTATGTTACTAGATATTCATGTTTTGGTGTCATACATCTACATGTGACGATTCCCCCTCCCCTCTTTCGCGAAGCCAGCAATGTCCTTTCATTTGCCAATATGGCCAAACACACACACATTGTATACATGCTAAAGCAAGGGCTTATCCCCCTCCCTAACCCACATTATTCATAATAAATCATAATGCCAGACAAGCAGGGTTGCACAAATCCCAGCTTGCTATATTATCTAGCCAATGGTCTGAGACTTAAGTTACCCAGTTTAAGATTTCAAATGGCTACTCAGTGTGCCACAGTGTCAGCCATCTTCATTCCTGGTACAAGATGAATCACTAAGTTCTTGTGGGTTTTTTCAGGCTATATGGCCATGTTCTAGAGGCATTTCTCCTGACGTCAGAAGAAATGCCTCTAGAACATGGCCATATAGCCCGAAAAAACCCACAAGAACTTAGTGATTCCAGCCATGAAAGCCTTCGACAATACAAGATGAATCTTCCTTATCCAAAATATTTGGGACCAGACTTTTTTCAGATTTTGGAATTTGTGTGTTTGCATATTCATCGAGAGTAAGGAATAGGAGGGAAAGTGGGTTAATCACACATCTAGTGCACCCCCCTCCCTCCCAGCTTCCTACCCTAAAGAAGCCACCACTGCCAGAAACCCAATGTATGAAAGAAAAGAGGAAGAAAGGAGAAGGATTCCACTTACATAAGGCTCTTACAAAAAACCAGACATGCCAGATGCTTCCTCATCTGTTAGTGCTTTTGCACACCATTTTCAAGAAGTCTGCCTCATAATGCAATGCTATTGGCAAGCAGAAATTAAGTGTGGAAGCATTTTGGATATCTGCTTTTTGAAGGCCTTGTGTAAATAGAGTCCTTTCCTCCTCTTCTTCTCCTTCTCCCATCAAAGATCCTTGAGTAAAAACCCAGCAGATGCTGGACATGTGACTAGCCCCCTTTCCCCAAAGGCAGAATTGAGTGACTGGCAACAAGAAGCCTTGGGTTTGCGAGTATTTTGGATTTCAGATTTCTTGATAAGGGAGCTTGAACTTGTGTGGGAAATTGGCTAATGCTGCTTTCCATATTTGTCCGACCATATGTCTTCCCTGCTGCAATATAAAGTGAGAGAATTGCCCTTTAGTAGAGGGAAACACACCTGTCCTTTTTACTGTCCCTTTTCTCAAAGCCCGGTTCACTTTCACTGTTGGTGCCAAGGAAAAGGCTCAGCTCCCTTCATCAGCCTACTCATTTAATATAAGGGTCTTTTAATGTGCTGGCGCCTGAACAGGGCAGACACGTGAGCAACTAATCTTGCTGCTTTTCATGTACCATATATACATCACTTGCAAACTAATTGGAAAAATAATTCAAGGTGTGATATCAAAATGGTGCAGTTAAGCATGACTTTACCTGCRCTATGCTTATTCTGTTATTTATCATAGAGATTTTCCRCTTTATCTTCTACTGATAGTCACACATATTGGTGCCCTACCATGATCCATAAWTATATACTCSTATTCACTGCCCTCCATAAAGATCTGTTTTTTAAAATTAAATTTATACAAAACATCTACTGYTTTAAAGAGATATACCCCCCCCCCCCCCCCCCCCMCACACACACACACACAACTTCTTTTGTACTTAAAATAACCAGAAGTTAAGTGCAGTACCAAGTCATTTTCCCAAATATATTTTGTCATTTCTCAAAGCTTTCGCTTTCCCGTCACTGGTGAATGTTTGCATCATTTCACCAGCATGTCTGTTTGGCTTAGAAAACATCCTCAAATGTTTTCCTGCTAATCAATTTTAGCAGAAGCTTTCAATGGGTTGCATCCAGCTTTGAACCCAGTTGCTTGATATCCCATCTCAAGTTGTTTCCCCTTCTTCATACACTTTATAGCAGAAGTTAGAAAAGTGACCATTTCAGGCGTCAACAACCAGAAACACCACAGCCAGATTGCTATTGGCTATACAGTGAGACCTCCACATTTGCTGAGATTTGGAGCACAGGGCTCCCACAAAAGTGAGAAAACTGTGAAATTAAAAAAAAAACACTATTTGAATTTAAGAAAACACCTTTCTAGGAATCTTTAGATCAGTGGTTCTCAACCTGTGGATCCCCAGGTGTTTTATTTTAATTATTTTATTTACTCCATTTCTACCCCGCCCATATCAGCTCGAAGGCTACTCAGGGCAGCGTTGTTTTGGCCTACAACTCACAGAAATCCCAGCCAGTTTTAAAAGCTGTTATTTATTTATTTATTTGCAGTATTTATATTCTGCCCTTCTCACCCTGCAGGGGACTCAGGGCGGATTACAATGTACATATACATGACATACATTCAATTCCATAGACAGACAAAGAAGCAATTTAACATTCCAGCTTTTTTGAGGGGATTTTGGCCACCAGGGGAGCTGTCACTTCAATGACCATATGTGACACTGATGGAGTACTTACTCATTCTTTGCATGCTTGCTGGAGATTTTTATGGCCTCTTAAATTAGTTAAATTTGCCTCCCCACATAAATAGTACCTAAATTTCCTACTTGAAAGATGCAACTGTCATTCGGGCTGCAAAGGTCGACAGCAATCTACACAAAATTGGTCAGAAACTCACTCCAACCCGGGCTGGCTTCGAACTCATGACCTTTCAGTCAATAGTGATAATGCAGCTGACTCCCAGCCAGCTGCGCCACAGTCCTGGTGTTAGGATTTTGGGGAGCTGAACGCCAAAAATATCTGGGGACTCACAGATTGAGAACCACTTCTCTAGACCCTCCAGTGCAACTATGTGGTTAACCTTCACCAGAAGTCACATTGGAGGACCTAGAAATTCCTACAGAGAACATCTTAATCAAATGCATGAATAATCAAATCTGCCAATGTCTAATTTGCAAATGTGAAGGACTCATTGTACTGGTGGGGGGATTCTGGGAGTTGTGAACCAAATACATATGCATCGAAGCCGTGCTGACATAAGCTAAGGCTTGATCTACACTGCCATATAATGTAGTTTGTCTCTGCATTATATGGTCAGTGTTGATCCATATAATTCTGTTCAAATTCAGATTCAAACGGCATTATATGGCAGCATAGCTCCATCCATAGCTGAAGTATTAGTACCTTTTCCAAGCTCTGCCTTTAAAAAAGATACTCCAGTCATTCCCAACTTCTTTTTCTTTTTACCAGGGACCACTTGCCAGCATTAGTATCAAAAGGATTATGAATCAGTTTTCGGTCAACTTTAGATTCAATTTGGTTGTTTGGGGTGCTGATTCAGAAAACTGCATTGGATAGACCACATCAGGTCTAGTTTCTGATTCAGAACATATGCCATCCAGTAGGCGCCATCTGTTCGTCCACAGAAAACCATATTTTATCATCTAGAGCAGATGTGGTCTATTCAGTTATCTGAATCAGCACCCCAAATAACCCCAGGAACAGGCCTAAAAATGAAGACACCAATAAAAATGTTGAGCTGTGTTATTATTTCTTGGGCTGTGCTATTATCCATAGTAGTCACAGTGAGGTCGCTGATCATATTTTAGTTTTTGCAGACCACTGGTTGAGAACCACTGAGCTACACTGATTCAGAACATTCAGAACATTCTCACTCTCTCTAAGAAGGAGTTTTTGAGTGTTATTGCTGGAAAAAGTTTCTAGTATTTATTATTTATTTATTTACAGTATTTATATTTCGCCCTTCTCACCCCACAGGGGACTCAGGGCAGATTACAGTGTACACATATATGGCAAACATTCAATGCCAATTTGACATACAACATATACAGACATACATAGAGGCTATTTAACTTTTTCTGGCCTCCAGGGGAGCTGTCGCTTTCATCGTCCATCTGCGACACTGATTAAGTACTTCCGCATTCCCCGCATGCTTTTTTTTTGCTGGAGTCCTTTGCTGGAGTCTTTTTTATGGCCTCATAAATTAGTTAATTTAGCCTCCCCACAGAAGGTGGTACCTAATTTTCCTACTTGACAGATGCAACTGTCTTTCGGGTTGCAAAGGTCGACAACAGGCTACAAAATTGGTTGGAAACCCACTCCAACCCGGGCTGGCTTCGAACTCATGACCTTTTGGTCAGAGTGATCTTAATGCAGCTGACACTCAGCCAGCTGCGCCACAATCCCGGTGCATAGATATTTTTGAGGAGCATAGATATTTTTGAGGAGTATAGATATTTTTGACTGGCAAGAAGAAATCCATCCACATCAAGGCTGGCTTGAGAGTAGCAGCCAGCACCTATAGAAGATTCTATGGGGTTTTTTTGGTACCTTGTGATGACTGGTGGCTTCCACTTCAATAGGACAATGAATTTGCTCTGGATATGTTGTCTGGACTGCAGGGATGCAAACTGCTCCTTGTAAATAAAAAAGTCTGTGCCCTCCCCAACTCTGCCAATGAAATGTTCCTTTTCTAGCCATGGGTAAACCTCAAGTTCCATTTCAGCATTCAGAAATAGCATACCCTGGAGGTCTCGCAGAAGCAAACAGTTATAGCCTTTCTCAGCTTGTGTTCCCTTCCTCATGAATCACTTTCCTTAATAATTGCTTTCATAACAGCCATCGGATGTTGCTTGGCCATACCTATCCCAGTTTTCTTATGTGAAATTATATTTCATACTCTTTTTTTTAGGTCCCAAAGGCCATTAAAAGGACTTTGAAAGGGGTGCATTCAATAATAATAATAATAATAATAATAATAATAATAATAATAATAATTTTATTTATACCCTGCCACCATCTCCCCAAAGGGGACTTGGGGCAGCTAACATGAGGCCAAGCCCAAAGATACAATACAGCAAAATAAAATACAAAATGCAGACAACAAAAATTACA